ACCCCGACTTGCTTCTCTCCTCCCTGCAGCCCTTCTGCAAGGGGAGCCAACCACTTCTTATTTCCTTTTCAGCAGTATGATATTTTGTATCCCTGGGTGTCTACCCACTTCTACCCAAAATAGCTTCTCCACTCCTGCTCCACAGGTTTATTCCACTCTTCATTTAAAATTTAACTTTCACTAACTTTCCAAGAAGTTGTCCTTCACCTCTGACCACAATCTTAGTTAAATACCCAAGTTACTGTTGCCATAGTAACCAGAGTCTCTATGATAGTAGTTATAATACTAAGTGATCATTATTTTTATCTCTCCCACTTGTTCAAGCTTTTTGAAGGTAGAGTTTGTGTTTTATCTGTAATTATACTTCCCAGTCTACTAGGAAGAGACTGTCAATGAGATGCATTGACATAGTAATTGCAACAATGGGCTCAAACATAGGAACACTTGTGAGAATGGGGCAGGCTGGGTAGTGTTTCACTCTAAGGTACAAAGGATCCCTATGTTGAAACTGACACTAGGGCACTTTAACCACAACAATAGTCAATTAGGTGTCAACTGCAGGTATACAGTAAATATTCAATGACCATATTTCAGCACGTTCATGAGATATCCTTTTAAAGACCCAACTGTCCAGTCAAAAGCAACAGTGATTAAAATCCAAAGCAGAAAGGATGCACATCCTTATACAATCCTTTTTGTTTAAACATAGTCAATATTCTTAGACTATTAAATAAGTCTCAGGCTTTGATGCCCTGAGTCTCTGGAGAGGATGCTTGACGTATATTTGTTTATCAGGATGCTACAATTCAGTTCTTGGTAAAATTTATTCAGTACTTTGACATCCATCATTTCATTAGAAGGGATTTAAAAATGGTAGATGAAAGCAGAATTGGAGCAGAATAAAGAAGCGCTTGGCTAGAGATCAAGCAACTTAGCAGGGCATGTACTCTCCTTCCAATGCTTCTCAGGCAGGAATATGACAAACGAGAGTGGGGGACTTACCTGTCACCACTGGATGCTGACATTCCGATGCTTGTTGAAAGAAGAAACGTTACAGGATTTTGAGCAAGCTTTTCCACCACTTCTGTCATAATTCCTGACCTGGAAGGAAGGAGGTCTTAGGTCACCCCCACCCAGACATACTGAGGAATGGGCAGTGTGACTGCCATCATTTGCTAGAAGTACCTCACCCTGGCCGGTGGCAGAAAGACAAAAAACAAGGCGTCATGGAAAACCAAGTAAAGCAAAATATGAAGAAGTAGGTACTCTAATTGTACAACCTTGAACAAGTTGCTTGATATTTCTGACTCCTAGCCCTTCCATTTTCCAAATGATGAGCAAACTCAAGCCAAACTAATCCCTTGCCATTTAGTCGGTCAGGACCCACAGAACGGAGCAGAACTGCTCCACAGGGTTTCCAAGCTGTACTCTTCGTGGAAGCGAGCAGCCACATCTCCTGTGAAGTGGCTGGTGGGTTTCAACTGTTGACGGAAAGCAGGCAGCCGGTAAACGAAATCATCTGTAGGATTGCTTAGCGTCAAAAAACCGTTCTCTGTCAGAATCCTTCACAGTTCCAATTTTGCTCCAACTCCTGGCTCCATTCACCACTGCCCAGTCTCTGCCATGTCTCCTCTCTCACTCTCCCATTGAGTTAATGCCAACTCACAGCACCCTTTCAGGACAGGGCGGAACTGCCCCCATGGGTTACGAACTGTAACTCTTTATGTGACTGGAAAGCCCAGTGTTTCTCCCACAGCGTGGTTGGTGGTTTTGAAATCATAGTCCACCATGCCACCAGGGCTCATTCCTTAACCAAAAAATTGTGTAACATCTAGTATTCACTACCCCCATTCCAGTAGCCAAAATCACATTTATATAAAGAAAGAACAACATTGCCTATGATTCTGAAGAGTAATAAAAGATCATAAAAAGAAATAATAATTCTATCTTTAAGTGAGTGGGGCCTACAAAATAAATGGCAATTTAGAAGGGAAAAAGCAGCAAATACCTATAGCACTATGTAAAATGGCACTCGTTTGGTTAGGGTTACTCATGATCATCAGTGGTTTCAACCTTCCTAGTGCTGCGACCCTGTCATACAGTTCCTCATGTGGTGGTGACTCCCCCAACCATAAAATGTTTTTTGTTGCTACTTCATAACTGTAATTTTGCTACTGTTACAAATAGGGCAACCCCTGTGAAAGGGTCGTTCGAGCCCCAAAGGGGTCATGACCCACAGGTTGAGAACCGCTGATCTATATGAAGGGATGAGATTTATGAAATACTGATAACTGAAAAGAGTAGATCATTTTCACACTACTTGTATGTTGTTTGGGAGCTGACTTGATTACACCTGAACAACAGAGATTCTGCTGAATTGAAACTGAATTGTAAAATGGAATGTGATATAAAGTTTATTGTGCCAACCTGGCCGATAAACACATTTGGGCTTAATTGAAAGGCGGAGAGATAAATGGCTTGGTGAGCCTTGCCTTTCTAGTTCTCGGATCTTTTGCTTTCTGACGGTCGGACCAGGGTGCAGCTGCCTTAGCCAGTTCCCTGCTTTAGCTGGCAAGCCTCACTTCCTGCAAGACATCCCCGAAGAGAAGCCACATGGACCTACCCCGATGCAGCCCTGGGTGCTGGAGCAGCCACGTGGAGACCCCTGCCAGCGCTGAGATGCTTACACACTCACTGACTCGGCTTTCCTCCTGCAGTCGGTGTCATTGTGTGTGTTTTGTGAGATGGCGGAGGACTTTGTGGATTGGTGTCGGACATATGGGTTAATGTTGGACTTGTGGGCTTGGGCAGCACTGGGTTGGGATGTTTTCTTGAAGCAGACTTACCCTTTATATAAAACTCTCTCTTATCCATATGAGTTTCTGTGGATTTGCTTCTCTAAAGTACCCAGACTGAACCGCTGATCACATGAAGGGATGAGATTTATGAAATATTGATAACTGAAAAGAGTAGATCATTTTCACACTACTTGTGTGTGGTTTGGGGGCTGCTTTGATTACACCTGCACAATGAATATTCTGCTGAATTGAAACTAAATTATAAAACAGAATGTTAAGAGCGAGAGGCAGGTTATTTCATTATTGCGTGTCTGATTCCCTAGCCGGAGCCTTCCCTTTCTGTCTTGTTGAGGGCATGTCACCAACCTTCACCCGAGCTCGGTGCAGAGTGCTGCATGTCTCTTTTCACCGACTATTCCCACCACCTATACATACCCTATCTGTGCAGAGGGCAGTAAAGGTAGTAGGGGATGCAAGTTGCATTAGGTGCCAACATAAACTAGGAGAAAGAACTATTCTCAGCAATGTGTTTACTATCTACTTGGCCTAATAAAGATGGAAAACAGAAATTTTACATACAGAATGTGGTCACAAAGAACCAAGGGTTGATTGTTGTACAGACAATGAGGAGTGTGAGACGTGACTGTAATTACTATTTTAAGCCAAACATGTCCTTTTCAGTGACAAGTACCTCAATTAAGAAGGCCAGTATCTTTCTGTGACTAAACGAATTAACTTATGTTCCCACGCTTCTTTCCAAAGCCCCAGGACATTTCTGGAGAATTACTAACCTTGGGAGCTTGAAGGAGAAGTGCAAGGTCATCCCGTGACAGAGGTGGCAAGGAGGGAAGAACAACTGCCTGGTCCCAATGCCACCACGCACTAAGGCATAATAATGAGGATGATTTTAAAATTAATCTTTTTCTCTTCTCCCTAGCCTCAAAGATTTCTGGGGTGAGGGGAACAAATTCACTTACTGGGATGGGTCCAAATCATTTCCTTTGCGTTTCCTTGGAAACTCTCTCGCATGGGAGCTGAAGGATCCAATAACGAATGGTTTTGTCCCCGGGCTCAGATGACAAGAAACCATAGACGTCATGCACCGGTTCTCATCTACTGGCACTTTATCTGTGGATGATTATGCACAATAGACATTTATTTTAGACATAAACTTTTGCTTCATACCCATCCTATATCGCACATGTTTAATGTGCTCACTCTCAAAATATATATCATAGATAGATAGATATGAAGAATGTAATACAGAATGAAAGACTAGGTACACTCAAATATTGGTTCCCAAAAACGTCACTGCCATCAAGTCGATTCCAGCTGGACAAGTCAGAGCTGTCCCTGCAAGTTTCTGAGACGGAATCTCTATGAGACTAGAAAGCCTCATCTTTCTCCCATAGATCAGCTGGTTATTCCGAGCTGCTGACGTTGTGATTAGTGGTTCAATGCACAGCCCTCACTTCAAATACAGGTGGTTGTGGCAGCTGTTAGGTACCATTGAGTGGTTCTGACTCATAGTGGCCCGTCCTCATAAGAATGTTTGAGCCCATTGTTGGCAGCCACTGTGTCCATCCATCTTGGCCAGGGCCTTTCTGTTCTTTGCTGCCCCTCTATTTTACATAGCATGATGTCCATCTCCAGGAACTGGTCTCTCCTGATAACATGTCCAAAGTACAGGAGAGGAAGTCTTGCCGTCCTTGCCTGTCAGGAGCATTCTGGCTCTACTTCTTCCAGGACAGAGTTGTTGGCTCTTTCGGCAGTCTGGTACTTTCAATACTCTTCGCCAACGCCGTAGTTTAAATAACTGATTTTTCTTTGCTCATTCTCATTTAGTATCCAACTTTCACATGCATAGGAGGTGATTTTAAAATACCATGGTTTGAATCAGGTGTAACTTAGTCTTCAAAGTAACCTCATTGCTTTTCAATACTTTAAAGAGGATTTACCTAATGCAGTAGATTTACCTAATGCACTGCATCCTTTGGTGTCTCTCTCTCGCTCTCTTTTTTTCAAATGTCGTGTCTGCTGTCTCCATGAGCATTGATTGTGAATCCAAGCAAGATGAAATCTTTGACAGCTTCAATCTTTTCATGATATCCAATGGACATCATGATGTTAGCCATTGATGCATTTGTGGGAGTTTGTATTCTCTGTATATTGAGTTGGAATCCATATTTAAGACTGCAATCCTTGATCCTTATCAGCAAGTGCTTCAAGTCCTCCTCTCTTTCAGCAAGCAAGCTTGTGTCATTCATGTGCTGCAGGTTGTTAACAAATATTGGTTAGAAACGTATTATTTGCTAGTCCATATTTTTATTTTCTGAAAAAAGAAACATTAATCCAAGTTTATTTTCCCTATTTGTAAAAGATATACAAGACTATTGCAGACGGTAAAGAAAACACACAAAAAAGTCCAAATGAATAAACTTTCTATTCACTAGTAGCAAGCAATGAGAAAATAGAATATTTTAAAAGATACAATTTATCATAACCTCAAAAATAGAGTACAAAGAACAAATATGGAGTTCAGAAAACAAATCAAATGAAAATGGGTAAGATCTTTACAGAGAAAAAACACAAGGCTAATTAACGCAGTTTAAAAACAAGTGAAATGAAATAAATAAATAAATGGAGGAATGTCATGCTTCTGGCTAGAAGATCTCAACACTATAAAAATTCACCTAAACTAAACGTGCACCTGAAATAACTGTGTGTAACTTGACAAGCTGGCTCAGGGATGACAACTTTTCTACTATTTCACAGTCCGTATTAAGAGCATAGTTAGGTGGAGCAAGTACCTACATTTTTTTAATTCAGTTTTGTGTTGTTAGCTGCTGTCGAGTTTCCTCTGACTCATTGCAAGCCTATGTACCACAGAATGGAGCGCAGCCGGGTCCTGAGCCCCCTCACAATTGAGCCCATTGGGGCAGCCACTGGGTCCATCCGTCTCAATGAGGGTCTTTTTCTTTTTGGTGTCTCTCCATTTACAAGCATGATGCCCTCTTCCAGGGACTGGTCTCCCCTGTCCAAATATATGAAATAAAGTCTCGCCATCCTCACTTCTAAAGGAGGATGCTGGTTGTACTTCTTCCAGCGAAGATTTATTTGTCCTTTTGACAGTCCATAGTACTGTCAATATTCTTCACCAACGCCATACTTCAAACGCACTGATTCTACTGTGGCCTTCCTCAGTCAATGTCCAACTTTCACGTGACATGAGACAAATTAATGACCCTGGTTTGGGTTGTCCTCAATAAGACATCCTTGCTCTTTAACACTTTAAAAAGGTCTTGTACAGCAGATCTTCCCAGGGCAACACATCCGGGATCTCTTGCCTGCTGCATCCTTGAGCATTGATTGTGGATCTCAGCAAGCCAAAATTTTTTACAATTTCAATCTTTTCTCATCTATCGTGATGGTGGTCGAGTTGTGAAGACTGGGGCTTTCTTTACAGTACTCTAAAAGCCGTGGGATTTGATCTTCATCAGTATGTGCTTTAACTCATAAAACTCAGAAGTTGCCTTCAAAAATCTTATAGCCCTGTATAAGGGGCTTCAAAAAGTACTTGGAAAAATTGAATGGAAAGATAATGACATTTTTCATTGAACTTTTGAAGCCCCTCGTATATATTTGTGTACGTGTGGATACATAAATATATAAATCACAGAATGAAATCAGACTTAGCTGGAGGTACAAGCTGATAGAACAAGCATACGGGGAGAAGGACACTTAATTTTTGATGAGGGGGAGGAAATAATATTTGGAAGTATTT